TCACTTAGATAATTCTTTTAAAAATAATCCAAAATATAGGTGTAAGTACATTCCAAAATTAGTTCCATGTTATTGATCAAATATCCGATTATTGTAAATTCATTGTTAAATGAACTGTCCACTAATTCTTTAGATTGCCTGTGCAGAACTTACTGTAGTTAGCTTAATTTCAATTTCTCCAAATATATCAAATAATAAGACTCCTAAAGGCAGCCATGAAGCGAATAAACTTCATGCTTTTGGATACTGCCATCATATCGTAAAATCATAAAATCTCAAAGCCTTTTAGAGCAGTTTAACCCAGCACCCCATAAGAAAATACTTTTTTTTTTCATCCTATTTAAAAAAAAAAAGAATGAAGTGTGGACCGTCATGTGTCCGTGAGATCCGCGAACAGTGCAAGTGCAAGTATCCAACAAAAAACAATGCTTATTCTGGCACTTTAACAACCAAATTCTCCTCCTTTTTAATGGGCTCCCCCCTAAGACCCCCCCCCCATTAATCCTGCCCTTATACATAATTGCCACGAAATCTTCTTCTTTAGATACCATCAATCTCTACACGACGTGTTTGCCTTTGTTTTAAATGACATCACGTGATGGTTTCAAAGGAATTAACTTCTTTTCGAGTCACCCCAATATATAGCCCCATAGCTTGGCCCCAAAAATTTCATTAGAAAATAAAAGTCGCATTAAAACACTGTTTATGGAATTTTCTTGTATAGTTGAGTCACCCCAACAATATGGCCCCATAGCATGGCCCCAAGTGCATTAGTGTGCCTGTTCTTTATTCAACGAGGAAAAAGTGAAAGTTCGTATAGCCAAATTACGGACGCTAATCGGTAGTCACTACAAGTTTATTTGTGAACTGAACAAGGAAGTAAAAAGTAAAACTTCATCCATTACTTTCTTAAGTTTTCAAACTAAAAAAGTACATTTAATAGTTCAGTATATATCCACTAGCTCTATAAGAATATATATATACATATATTATAAAAGAGTTATAATAGTAAATTGAAGTATATGTGTTTTTTTTGGTAAAATGGTAAGATAAGTATGTGTGTTTGAAATACATAAACATAATTACATAAACATAAGATATACACAGTCGATAATTCGACAATTTTCATGACATAAAACATTGACTAACCCCCAAATAGGTCCGATGGAATATAAGTCTGATCGAGTGTATCACTTTACGTACGGCTAATGCACGGCGCAATACGTGGGCCGATGAATGCGGGCATTGTGGGTCCTTCATTTAATTTGCTTTTTTCTCTCTTTCAAACTCTATTTGATAAAATGAAAAACAAAAAATCACATTCTTCTATGTTAGTGGGAGCCTGAGCCTCTGTCTAGTGTCTACGCTCTAAAATGAAATATCTTGAATACAAGGTCATAATTGGCGGCAATCGATAAAAAGCTGTTAAAAGATATAAAAATTACAAATCAAAAGATAAACATGAATGATTTGTTTAGCAACAACTACTTAATATCAGGTATAGTGAATATGAAGGATTTGATAACTTTAGGTATATATTGAGTTTTCGGCATAACTAAAGATGGTTTATGCATGAAAATAGAAAAAATATTAAAGTAATGATGGTGTAACTGTTAAGCTTAGCAAAATCTGTTCGTTACTGAGGCTGCAAGTCTGCAACTTGTTTTTATAAAGCAAACCAAATCAATTCTCTTTATATTTACTCAATCCAATTCGTAATGAAAACCTCGCTTAATTTATGCTCTAAAAAAAACGGTCATTGTGTGGTGTTTTTATAACCATGAATTTACGGACCATTGCTCTTTAGTCTTCTCTAGATTCCATATATCAAGTTATATGTTTGTGGAGGATTTATTCTGAATAATAGGCAGGTTAACTATAACATATATTTTCGTCTAGTTAATTATTTGTCTTTGCTTTATTGTTTTTGGTCAACCAAGATTAATAAAAAGAAAACTGATAAACAGCCAAACACTAAGGTCAGTTTCTTTGAACTAGATTAGCCGCAGAACTAAACAAGTGAAAAGAGATAAGAGTCAAATGACAAAAAAGGCTTTATGCATTTTGGTCAGAGAAACAACCATAAAAATACATTTGTATAAAATACAAAAACTCTCATAAGCATGGAACACCTCGCATAAGTCAACTCCATATTCTTTCTAGCATAAGTTTCTAAGTCACATACTATTATTTTAGATCCAGGAAAACAAATGAGATAAAATATTGTCGAGCATCATTAGTCTGGTTATAATCTATGTGAGAAATAGAATAAGCTAGTCTTCTTTTATGTAAAAGATTTTAATATGAAAAAAAAAAAAGATTTTAATATGACAAAACGGTTACAAACCTACTTCCACATTAAGTAGAATTGTAGAAACAGCAATCGATTTTTTTTCAAGCTCAATTTTGGCAAAAGAAATCAAAATAAAGAAAATAACAAGTATTCTCTCTCTAACTTTGGAGTTTCCTTCCCTCCATAAATACCGAACCTCACTTTTAGTTCTTCTTACTCCCCATCATCTCTCCATTTAACAAAACACAACTCTTCTTCTTAGACAAGAGCGCAAGCTCAAAAGCGCTCTTGTTCTTTCTTCATCTTCTTTGTGTTCATAGTAATTAAGAACCCTTATTCTAACAACTCACACAAAATGCCTAAACTAGCAATTCTCTTTACAACATGTCTCCTCTTAAGCCTCGCCGACGCAAAAATACCCGGCGTTTACTCCGGCGGCGCGTGGCAAACCGCACACGCCACTTTCTACGGTGGCAGCGATGCCTCCGGCACTATGGGTCAGTCCACAAACAGAGCATAAAAGCAGAACAAATGCACCATTTAATATTTTTTTTAACATAATGTTTTTTTTTTTAAACAGGAGGAGCTTGTGGTTACGGGAACCTATACAGCCAAGGTTATGGAACTAACACGGCTGCTTTGAGCACGGCGCTGTTTAACAATGGTATGAGTTGTGGAGCCTGCTTTGAACTAAAATGCGCCAACGACCCACAATGGTGCCATTCAGGTAGCCCATCGATTCTCATTACCGCAACCAACTTCTGTCCACCAAACTTTGCTCAGGCCAGTGACAACGGAGGATGGTGCAACCCGCCACGTGCCCACTTTGATCTTGCCATGCCTGTCTTCCTCAAAATTGCTCAATATCGTGCTGGCATTGTCCCCGTCTCATACCGCAGGTACAAAACTTTGCGTTACATGTTTGGGACCTTTGCAATATTAACAATAACATTAAAGCATAATTATGGCAAAAAGTTAAAATATAAAAAGGCTAAAATACGAATTAGTTAGTTAGGTCAAATCCATCCCACTGCATAATTTACTCCAAATTTGAGTGAGAAATAGATTAATGAACAATAAATAATATATTGCTTTTTAAATAGAATTATGCTTTTACTGTTTATTACTCTATTTTATTTTATTTTTGAGTAAAATAGAGTAAATTATGGAATGAAAATGTTCTTAGAAACATAAGGACGTAGTAGTAGTAATGCAAATGATTAGTTCCATTGTGCCTCGGTTCAAAACACACTTAGAACTTAAATTTATTTATTTGATAAATCAGATTATCAGAATATAGAAAAACTTATTCTTAACAAGAACTTCCACTATTAACCAAAAAAACTAGAAACTGATTTTTGTGTTATTCTGTTACTAGTATTTTATGTACAACAAAATAGCATGTTTATTTATGATAAAAATGTAACTATGGTTTTAGTTTATTAGGTGTTCTCTAATGCACTAAGACATGAATTATTTTCCATATTTTGCTTGAAATGTAAAGAGTGAGTGATTAAACAAGTGTTGGTCCTTGGGTTTATAGGGTGCCTTGTAGAAAGAGAGGAGGGATGAGATTCACTATAAACGGCCACCGTTACTTCAACTTGGTTCTGATCACTAACGTGGCGGGAGCAGGGGACATAGTGAGGACGAGCGTGAAAGGTTCACGGACTAATTGGATGAGTTTGAGCAGGAACTGGGGTCAGAACTGGCAATCCAACGCTGTTCTGGTTGGTCAGTCACTTTCTTTCCGGGTCACAGGCAGTGACCGAAGAACCTCTACTTCATGGAACATTGTTCCTTCTAACTGGCAGTTTGGTCAAACGTTTGTCGGGAAGAATTTCAGGGTCTAAAAGCGAGTTTCGAGACAGGAGAAAACTCTCCGCTAATTTCGCTTTACCTTTTTTTTATTTGGGTTCAAAAGTTTATATATGGAACGGAGAGAAAGGTGTGGGGGAGAATAGTATCTTTGACTTTTGTGTGTGTTTTCTTTTTAATTGTTATTTTATTTTGGGGTTTGGTCTTGTAGTTGTGAAGGGGGAGAGTGAGAAAGAGTAGTTGAAGTGGCTGTGAGAAAATTTTGTAACAGCCCGCAGCTACTTAAGTGTTTTACATGGTTGGGTTGTTGTAAGTTACAACTTGTAACGTTTAACTTAGTGTAATCTAAAACATGGTTATGTTACATTATACTCCACTAATCCTCTGATTTGTTGTTAACTAGTCATTTACAAAAGAGTTACTCAAAGAGTAAGAATGAAGTTAATGCACGTTAGTGATAGATCCACGAGGATCCCACTTAGATTTGGTAACGAGAAACAAGAATAATTCAATGGCTATAGGTCTAAAAGCCTTTAATGAGTGGTGGGACTGTTTTTTGACCGATGAAATTAAAATAGTATTTCCCGACAGCATTTGATGCAAATGTAACACAAGTCTACACTTGTTATTCATTTCACCTTTTCGTTTGGTGATATGAACGTAACATGTCTTCTCCACTTACAAATTTTAGCTAAAGTTTATTATTCACTTCCCATTACATTTTTTTACTATTTTATTTTACACACTTTAATAGTGTTTAGTTTAAATCCGCTGAAAGCATTGGTGTAAACATTGTTGTTTAATTCTACATGAAGATATCTAGCATTAAAATGACAATAGATAACGTAATTTGTGCTATATGTTTGTACATCTACAATTTTTGCTCAAGGGAAATTTTGCTTTGATAATTCAGTTAAGCCTCTTAAATTTTTTAAAATTTATGGATTTTAGTTAAGTTTGCTCACTCGTACACTGGAGTATACATCATAGACATAAAAGCCTAATCTATAAAGCCAAGACCTCACTTCTCGAACGTACTTTCAGTGCCTTCACCTCAGTGCACTGACCAACCAAAAGGCAAAGTTTGACTTGAACCAAGTCTCCTCTTCAAACCGGAGATTTGTCCAAACCAGGACACTAACAGGAAACAGCTTCTGCATCTGGCTTAGACTCTTGACCATCCGTCTCAGCGAGTAAAGGGCTTTTCTGGAACTTATTCCTCAGCTGACCACAAGCAGCACTCGCATCAAGCCCTCTTGTTTGCCTCACGCTTGCTGTTATCTTACGAGACTCCAATGCAGCCGCAAACGCTTGAACCTGCACAATCCATTAACTAAAGAGATTAGAGACTTAATCATCTGAAGTAAACACCAAACCAAACCAAAGACAGAATGTTCAGGCCTAATGGTTATTATTAACATACTGCTTTCCTGTAAGGTCGCTTGTACTCTGACCCTTCTATGGGGTTGTAAGGTATCAAGTTTACGTGATAAGTTTTGCCCCATTCACGTAGTAGCTCTGCGAGTTCCAAAGCGTTCTCAACTGAATCATTGACTCCAGCTGCATCATCATTTAATCAACTTGTGTTAATGTTATAAATGAGGGAGACAAACCTTACTGATCTCAAGTCTCACATACCTAGAAGGGCATATTCGAAGGAGACTCGTCTATTTGTTTCTTGGAAGTAATCACGACAATCTTTCATAATTGCTTCAAGCGGATAAGCCTTGGCACTTGGTACAATCTTCTCCCGTAGACTCTGGTTTGGAGCATGTAAGCTGATTTAACAGAAGAAAGGCTCAAGAATGAGAAAATAATATAAAAGATGTGGCAATCAACGAGAGAAGATAGACAAGGAGACGTTGCATGGTTTTGTTTATAAGAAAATAAATGAATGAAACGAGAAAGTGTAGAAGTAACCTGACAGCTAAAGTAGACTGAAGCTTATGAGAGGCAAGCTTCTTGATTGTGTTCGGAACACCAACTGTTGATATTGTAATCATTCGTTGTCCGATTTCAATGTCCTGAATGTAAAGGAAAAACGCACAACCAAAAGTGACTGCTATATCTTATTGTTTTAGCAGTATACAATTCAATATCTCTACAAAGATAGCAATCATCTATGAGAACATCACCTGATCCTAGTTTCCAACTTACAGTCACAATAATCCACCAAACATGATTTTTTTTTATGGTCAAATAGTTGTCTTAGGGCAAATGTTACCTTGTTTAAACAACGATGAGCATCAAGTACTGACTTTAGGTTCAACATGGGCTCACCCATTCCCATGAAAACCACATTTGTCACTCTGTGCTTGAACACATCCTCAATAGCCAACACCTATACATTTTAAAATCACACTTGTAAGCTCAAGTTTACAAAGTACCAAGAACTCTTTTCCCTGGTCTAAAATAGAATCAAACAAACTAAAATCCAGTACAATAATACTCTTCTTCAAAGTATTGCATAGAGTATTCTACTTTATAATATATCATTTCACTTAATCCACAAGCTGCAGAAAACAAGAGGTGATAAATAAAAGTAAAACCTGCTCAATAATTTCATGTCTCTGAAGATTTCTTGAAAACCCTCCTTTCCCCGTAGCACAAAATGAGCAACGCAGTGGACATCCAACCTATAAATCAGACAGCTTCAACACATCAATTACACAAAAAGCCAAAACAAACAAAAATCCAACAACAAGAGAAAGTCAAGTTCACCTGGGAAGAGACACAAGCAGTGAGGCGCGTTATACCCTTCTCTTCCTGGACCGGTATACCAACCGTTTCAATCAACAAGTTATCTTCAAGCTTCAACAGCAGCTATAAAGACAAACCAAAACCGTTTAAACATCTATCAAACAAGAACATTTGTAAAGTTTTAAGTTAAAAAATACCTTAATGGTACCATCAGTGGCAGTGACAGTTTGATAAATGGGTGATCTTCCCACCTTATACCCACTTTCCACAAGCTCGTTTCGAAACGTTTGTGGCACTATCAAAATTAGAAGATTTGGTTAAAATCATATCTGCATACATATGTCTAAGGAAGAAGAAAGCTAAATCATTTGTTGCTTACAATTGCTAAAGTCTTCAACTTGTTTAGCCTTCCTCTTGTAGATAAGATGATGGAGCTGCTTCCCTCTGTATCCCTCCTGCAACAACAATTTCACAGAAAAGTCAGAACCTTTTTTTCCAAGTTCTTGTTTTTAAATCGTAAAGTTGGATCCTTTATTACTTGACCGAGTTTGATAGCGAGTTGTTGAAGCTCTGGCTCCGACATTCCGAGGAGGACTTGCGAGTCCACGTGTGGAGTACGCACCGGTTTTGAAGAGGCCGGTTTTAGAGATGGTACGGCGGTTGTTGCGGTGGAGATTGTTGCGGCGGCGGCGGCGGTGGAGAGGGAGTAACGGCGCACGACCATGCGTGAGATGGGAACGGAGAAGACGAGGTTTTGAAGCATAGCGATTGTATTGGTTGTTGTCGTCATCATGGTTTGAAAGGATCAGACAGAAGACAGAAGAGTAAACCCTTTCTTCTGCGGCTAAAACCTCTCTGCGACAAGAAGTGGAGTTGTTTTGGTCTCTATGTGGATAAGTCAGTAAGAACGGCATACAGTTTGAATGTAGAAGCAAGAACCGACACGCGTTGTTTGATTTGAATGTTGACTTCTCCCGATTCTACTAAACAGTGTATTTAACCAATCCAAACCGAATAAATAAAAATTGATTCAAACATCAAACAGAGAAATTAGTAAAAAAACATATTTGGATTTGTGTTTATTAGAAAACGAGGTGTTTTAAATTATATTTTAAAATAAAAAAATTATCAAAATTTAAAATTTTATTTATACCAATGTTTTAGTATAGGTATTAATCAAGTTAAATAGAAAATTAAGATAAATAAACAATTTTATTTATTTTAAATTATTTTAAGAATATATATATATATATATATATATATAAAGTATAATTTTAGATATATTTTAATTTATTTATTTTTAGTTAAGATATAATTGAAAAAAATACACTAATCCAAAATAAAACTAATTTAAAAAAAAAAATTGTAGATATCAAAAGGAAACAATTATTATTATTAAAAAAAAAATTTGTAAAAGGATTGTATCAGTTTCTTAAAATTATATTTAGTGATAAAGATTGTATGATTATAAAAATAGACTTAAATGATATTATGAAATCTGTAAAAGTTTTACATTTCTATTATTATGTTGTTTAATATCATATATAAATATATTTATTTTAATGATAATATATGAGTTATTACCATATTCTAAAATGTTTACCAAAATAGAATTAGTATTAAATATAATTATTCATGTTATATTTAATCATGAATTATGTCATCATATCTACTATGCCATATCACATTTTTTTATGAAAGTGATGATAAAGATAACATGTGTGAAATCATTTCTTAAATAATTTTTAAGGACCGGAGGTTATTGTATGAATTTTTTGTATAGAATATATAATAGATTTTTCTAGATTTAATTTTATGGTTTATGGACAAGTAAACAAGACCATTATGCAGCAAGATAAATACGAATAACATACTCTTTAAGCTTACGTCTTTGATTCTCAGTGTTGCATCTTTGATTAACTTCTACTATTCTTACTTGTATCATTTGAAAACAGTCGATTCCAAAATTGGAGATAAAGAAAAATCACTACATCAAATGTACTGAGGAACAGAAAATAAAATATAAGTGTGAGTTACAAAACAAGAAGAAAATAACCTCATTCATATATACTTTCACTAGATACCACAACACACGAGGAAGCCTAAAGGCTAAACACATGTTCTCTAAGGTTGGGTATAGTACTTCTCCTTTATTAGTATATAGAGTCTCTGACCTGCATGGTTTACCCATAACCATACTCTTATCTGTTTATAAACGGATTTTCGCAGTGCTAAGCACTCATTTCGCAGTGAAATCACTAGCTTGACCTGATCTCCAAGTCTCATTAAGGCTTAGGCGTCCAAAAGGTTATTATTTGGACCGTCTTTCTGGTAACTTAGATCCGGTTTTAAACCTATCTTTCTTAGCATCCTTATCCGGATCGGTCTTAGTTGGTTTTCCCAAGTTGTCCTGAAGTTGTTGCAAGGCACGGACCACTTGTTCCATGGTCGGGCGCGCCTTGGGTTCCAACGAGAGACACTGAACCGCAATGCTAGCCAATCTCACCGCCTCTTCGGGTAGGTACTGTGTCTCTAACCGAGCGTCCACGATTTTGAGAACCTTCCGTTTGCTTGCGAAATACGGTCGAGCCCATTCCACAAGGCTTTCTTCTTTAGCTGGCCTGTTATCGTCCAACGCTTGTTTACCCGTCAAAATCTCTAAAAGTACAACTCCAAAACTGTACACATCGCTTCTTGCATTTAAGTGACCTGAAAACAATGATTCAAATCATTATACTCTTATAAAACCTAAAATCATATTTTATATTAAGAAGATTAGTAAATATTATTTTACCTGATGACATATACTCAGGAGCCGCGTAGCCATATGTACCCATAATCCTTGTACTAACATAGCTTTGATCACCCGTTGGACCGTCTCTAGCTAGTCCAAAGTCAGAGAGTTTCCCATTATAGTCCTGTTAATGGATACAAAAGCCATCAATAAATTAAAATGTAACTAAACAAAGGTGAGATCATATAGTTATTTGAATATGTGTTTTTTCTGTTACCGCGTCAAGTAAAATGTTGGAGGCTTTAATGTCACGGTATATCACTTTGACAGGGTCACTGTGGAGAAAGGCTATCCCCTTTGCTGCATCAAGAGCAACCTTGATCCTTAGAAACCAAGGGAGCGGCTTAAAATATGTACCTCCTGCTTCAAAACAACTTCCATCAGTACAAAAACACACAATACGAAAGCAAGCTATGTAAGGTTTTATCAATCAAGAAACAGAGATATGGATCA